GGGCTGGTGCGGTGATGAAGGGATAAACCTCCTGAGAAGTTGGTGGCCAGGGTGGGTGCAGGGGCTTCATGGGAAGATCCATGTTTGCCTGGCTGCATTTCACATCCATGTTCCCTCAGCGGGGAAGTGACTATCCCATATGTGAATATCTCGGTATGTATTCGTGTGTACTCATGAGACTGTATCTTCGTTTCTTTGGAGAGGACAAGGGTGCAGCCGTGAGGTCTTTAAGAACATGTGTCTCCGCGCGCACATCAGCCGCAGAGATGAGGATTTGTTTTAAGGAAAAACATTCCCTAGTCCCCTTTGTACAAACCAAGACTCATTTGTTCTGAGACTATGGGGGTGCAGGTTGGATCCCCCAAATCTGGAGAGATGTCACAGAGCTGGAGCAGGTCAGGGTAGAAGAGCTCCCATTGGTGTATACGTTGGAGCAAATGCAGTTCTAAAGGACAGGAGAAGGCCACGTGGGATAAAAGCATAAAGAGAGGAAACTCAGCCCTCTGGCGCAGCCCCCCAGTCTAGACTGAGGGCTTCTCCCTGGACTTGGCCTCATGGCCCACCAGTCACTTGCCAGCACGCTTGGAACCTTGACCGCTGTGTTGAAGGGTTAGATAGGGGCAGAGTGCCCCTCCAGAGTTAGACCCAGCTGAGTACCCAGGCAGAGCTGAATTAATTAAATGTTTGCACCGAGGGCTGGGGCTGTAAAACCAGGCTTTGCGCCTGGCCTGCACCCCAAATTCTGGGTTCCCTCTTGATTAATGTCGCTCCTGATATTTTCCTGCTGTCAGGCATGGTGGGGATAGTTGTGTTAGCAATGTCGAATGGATCTGCCTCCATCACTGTTCATATGTGCCTGCCGCGCAGCCAGTCTTCTACTCACCTCGTAAGTTTGCCAACCCACCTGCCCCCACTGTGGCTACAGCAGACGTTCATGTGGACTGTCGCCTCTCTTCTCCAACTTTCACTCCTGACCCTGATTCCTTCTTCCTCAAGGAGACAGGAGCCAGCAGATGTGAGCCCCCACGGCACTTCTGTCTCTACATGGCTTCTTGCTTCCCTCTTTCTTCTTTCTAAGGGGCAACTGATTCTCTCTTAAAGTCAACTCCTCCGCCTAGGGCCTGGATCTCCTCCCCCTCCCTTCTTGGCATTAGCCTGCCTCTCTCCTGCCAAGTGTGGGGGGCAAAGCTAAGATACGTCAGCCTTGGAAACAATTGTTATCTGGTGAATTTGGTTAATGTGAATCAGTGCCTCAGGACCTTTGCTATGTCCTCGGTGCAAAACCATCCACTTGATCTAACTACCTCCCCAGGTTGCTCTTCTCGCTCTCCTTCCGGTCACTGCCAAGCCCACTATCGCCCTCTCTCACTTTCTTCTTGTTTTCCCCCATGGGGTGGGGAAAGTATATACGGTTGTGCAGGTGTATTTATTACACGTCTCCAGCACTTGGCATTAAAGTGCCTTTAAAAAAATAAATAAATCAGTTTATTATGACAATTTCCTGATGGTGGAAAGTAAAGCATTTTGAGAAAGTTTCCTTTTTTTCTTTCTATTTTTTTGCATAAAGACGCTGCATGGGTTGGGGTGGCCCTGTCTCACTCACCAACTCCATAGAACTCATCATCTGAAGGTCACTGATATCTTCATGGTGACATCAAATGCGTTCATATTTCTTGGCCCCTGTGAACCCTTACAACATGTCACACTACTTCCCATCACCTCCTGCACTAGCCGGGCTCAACTGTGCCCTTTGTCGCCCAATTCTCTGTGCAGTGCTGGCTCCGGATCTACCACTTTCGGTGTGGGTGTCCCCAAGGGTCTCATCCATCCTCTTGGCTCTGGATCAGCATTTTGGGGATGAGTCCAACATCTAGAGCCACAGCCCCCACGTTTCTCCCCAGCTCCTGGCTCGCATGCCCAGGGGTCTGTTGGACATTTCCACCTAGATGCCTGCCAGGTCCTCAAAGGCAGCCCCTCTCCCAAAAGTCAATTTGAAAGTTCCCACATATGCACACAAGACCTTTCCAAGAAAAAAAAAAAAGCTGTCATGACTTGCCTATTTCTGTTCATGGTGCCACCATTTTTCTGACTTTCTAAATTAGACATTTCAGAGCCATCTGAAGGCTGCCTTCACTTGACCCTGTCCCTTTCCCCATCTCCTGAAGTCCAGTGCCATTTACCATGTCTCAGACCTTTCTTCCACATTCCCAGAGCCTCAGACTACCCAGAGCTTAATCCCCTCCCTCCCTAGACACATCCAGAGCCCCACTGTGACCTGCCTTGTCCCCTCCAATCTGCCAGGGCACCAATTCTGATGTGCTAGAAAGCTTTCAGGGGCTCCTCATTGCCTACAGGGTGAGACTCAGGATAACCTCTTATCCATTCTAGGCAGCTGGGCATTAACCCTTTTATTTGCTGACTCATGAGTCAGTCCAGGGGTCCTGGAGAAGGGGTGAGGGGGGCACATTAAGACTCAGGGCAGTAGCTCCAAAAGTATTTTGAGCGCAGCATCAGCCCTGTCTTCAGACAAGGTCCCAAGTCCTTGACCTTCCAGCAAGGTCCTTCACCATCGGGTCCCATCTGACTTCCCCAGTCATTTTTCACATTGCTTCCCCCCACCCCCAGTGTATTGCTCCTGCCAAACCAATACACTTGCTGGCCTTTGAACAAGTTTAAGTTTCCCACTTCTGTGTTCAAATTTCCCACTTCTGTGTTCTTGCTTTACCTGGTTCTACTTAACCAGAATGCTCCTCCCATCCCGCTAGTACCAACCGAATACTATCCATCCTTGGAAACTCAGTTCCTGGAAGCTGCCTTCCACAGTTCTTGTTTTGAAACTTGTAGCAATTGCCACTCTTTTGGCAACTGATCACAAACAGCCTGTGACATCTCCTTTGTTATAATCACAAACTGTTACTTAAATCTTCAACGACCTGGACTTATTTAGTCACCCCAATTAGTGTGTTACTTTCTGAGGGGCGGGCGGCTATAGCACCCACAGAGCAGGGCACACTACATAAGAAGCATTTAGTGAACATCAGCAAACGGTTACTGATTGAGCTGGTGAGTGATGGGGACCAAACTTTGAGGTAGGTGATGCTGACCTCCCCTTTGCACAGGCACCCACCCCAGGTGCTCCACTGCCCAGGGCCCGCACTCCCTGGCTCAGTGCCCTCATGGCCTCCCCACCCCCAGCCTCCACACCCAAGACTTGTTACTACTTTGAATGTCCTCTACCCCTAAAGAAACTTCCCTGTCAGTTTCTTTCCTAACTCAAAGTGTTAAATTAGCTAATATGATAAACTAACCTGTGCTGATATTGTTATGGGAGAAGGCTAGAGGAGAACCAGGAGACAGGTTTCTTTTAACCAGCGTCATGTGGCAACAACATCCCTGCCTTTGTGATGGTTTAATGGAGTCAAGAGACTCGCTCCTCGCCCCCAGCAACTGATGTATTACTCCCCCCTTTGGGCTCCCACAGCACTTTGTATATACCTCTTACTGTAGCACTTAGCACATGTAGGTCCTTAGTTATATGTCTGTTTCCCCTCCAATAGACTGTGAGCTCCTCAAGGACAGGGACTGTGTGTTAGTCACTGATGTATCCCCAGCGCCTAGCACAGTGCCTGGCACACAGTAGGTGCTCAATAAATGTTTATTGAAAGAATGAATGAGTCCTGTATATGATCATGGGGATTGTGGCCCTATGCTGTGGCAGGCAAGAGGGGAGGAGGACAACCCATATTGGGGGCTACCACAGCTTTTTTACTTCTCATATAACACTGCAGGCAGCTGCTTCCTTTGCCTGGGTCTGTGGCCACAAGGAGCACAAGGCTGCTTCCAGCTGTGCCTTGCTGTCACCAGGTGTTGCGGACAACTCTGAACTCCTGCCCTTAGCTGCTGCCCCTTCCTGGGACAGCCTCATGACCATTTCCTCATTCCGGAGTGGGACTGAGTGACAGAAAGGTCAGGCCCAGTGGGAGGGGCAGGACAAGAAGTTATTCTCACGAACATAGGTCTTTCTGACCCCATCACATATTTTTAAAGATGCCACTGCCTCCAGCTCCAACGTTGCTGGATTTGAGGCAAATGAGCTTATTCCTCTCCAGGCAGCTCCCAGAGCTGGGAGGCCAGGCAGTTGCAGCCTCCCAAAGCCTCGTCCCTGGCACGCAGGACGTGGGGGCCGATGTCCAGCAGGGGGCGCTGTCCAGCCAAGGACAGCGGGCTGGTGGCCCCAAGGAGCCCAGGGAAAGAGAGGCAGCGGGGCGGGGCCTGCGGCTCCCGGCAGAGGCGGACAGGGCCGGCATCTTTTAGTCTCTATGTCTTGACCCTGCGCCCCCAACTATCCCCGGGTGACTCTGACCCCCGCCAAGGCCTTCCATGGCTCAGTAGCTTCGAACTTTCCCCGGCTCCCGCCCCCTCCCTCCACTTTCCAGGGGAAATGCAGGTCTTGATCGGTGGAATGCCCTCCTCCCATTGGCTGGCCGTGCTATGGCCCCGCCCCTGGCGCTCCCCTCCCCCAGCCTCCCTGATGAGCAGGTGAGCACGAGGCGGGCCCAGCGGCCCAGCAGTCCAGCTGCCACGCTCTCCGGGCCCGGGCGCGCGTGTTCCCGAGGCCGCTGCTCCAGCCGCAGGGCGCCTGGCCTGGCCCACCTCCCCTCCGTAGCCTGCCTTTAACTACACTTTCACGCAGCGCTGCTTTCTACCTTAAAATCGGAAAGCGATCGGGCCAGGGCGCCCGCTACATCGGTTTGGCAGCGGAGGGCCCCGACTGCCCGCTGCGTGAGCCCGGAATGTATCTGCGCCCAGCAGCCCGACGCTGCAAGCTAGCCAGCCCCGCCCCCCCCCCGAAATCCGTGGTCTAGGGGAACACGTGGAGGCCCGCCCGTCGCGGGGTCCAGAAAGCCAGAGCACTGCACGCCCCCCCAATTCCCGCCCTCCTCTCTCTCTCTCTCTCTCTGTCTCTCTCTCTCTCTCTCACACACACACACACACACACACACACACACACACACACACACACACCCACCGCGCGCGCGTGCGTCTTAGCGGGGTGGGACACAATAGAAATACCTAACGAGCTTCCTCCCCCTGCCCCCCTCCCCGTTAGAGATTAGAATAAGGAAGGGGCAGGGGTTTACTACCCAATCCACCCCCACCCCATCCAGCCACCCAAATAGGGATGCAGACATAGCAGATGGTCCTTTTCTCCCAGAATATGGACCCTTGAATAGGACCTCCATTTCAACCCCTCACCCCAAAGAGGAACAGTCTGGTAAGAACGTCATTAACTAACTGTAGGTTCATGACCTGGGGCGTGTGGGAGGAACTAACTTCGAGCTGAACAGCCATGTTTACTCAGTATGATTTTCTTCCCTAGTCGGTAAATTGAGCCCCATTTGGCAGATGGAGCAACTAAGGCTCGGAAACATTAGGTTCTCGCCCAAGGTTAACCAACCTAGGTGGTAAGTTGTGGAGCTGGCCCTTTCCCCTAGACCGGGTCGGCAAACTGCGGCTCCCGAGCCACATGCGGCTCTTTGGCCCCTGGAGTGTGGCTCTTCCTAAGCCTTAGGAGTACGCTAATTAAGTTAATAGCAATGTACCTACCTATATAGTTTATGTTTAAAAAATTTGGCTCTCAAAAGAAATTTCAATCATTGTACTGTTGATATTTGGCTCTGTTGACTAATGAGTTTGCCGACCATTGGTCTAGACCACACTGAAAGTATTAGGAGGTCATTTCATAAGAGGCCACCGTCTTTGCCCCAATTTTCACCAGGGATGCAGATTTCATATCATCGTCCATACCTCCTGCTCTGATCTTCCTAACCTGGGCTGAAGGACAGAGGACTCAGGAAAGGTCTGGGGAAAGGAACCCAAAATGGAGGTAAGAAATAAACTGCTGTTTGGTTCCACTTTTAACTCTGCCTTTCTCCAGGGGACCAAAGGGGTGTGAGCACCCACACAACCAAACCAAATGCCTGTAGCTGTCCATGGCTCCCCAAACAACTATTCCTTTGGTTCATTCTGACTTTGCCACAGCATCTCCTTCCTGTCTTAAAAGGAAATCCTTGTAGAACCCCCACCACTCTCCCTTCATCTTTTTTTTGGGGGGGGGAATCTCAAGCAGTTACCTTTTCCTCCCTCTACCTGCCCCACCTTCAACACATTTTTACCAATTTATTAAAACAAAAACAAACCCTGTCACTACCCACTACCCAGTTTAAAGTTTCCCATCCTTCTGTATCACCTAAGGCAAAAGTCCAAGCTGTGCTTCTTGGCATGGCCAGCAGGGCTCCTGTGCCCTCCCTCTCCATCTGTCCCTTCCAGCCGCAGTGACACTGAAATGGGTTATAGTTTCCTGCACATACTACCTTGTCTCCAAGACTTTGCTCAGATTGTCTCCTCAGTTCAAAGATTTTTTTCCCTTGCCACCCCTAATTCCTACTTTTCTACTAAAGTGTACGGGCATCACCTCTCCCAGAACGTCTTTCCCACCACCCCAGTGCCCTTGTCCATCTTTTTGAGCTCCCAAACCACCCTGGGCCTAGCTGAGCCCTGACACTCACCACATGGCTTTCACCACCTATTGACATATCGGAGTTTGGCATATCTGCAAGTGCCAAACAGAGGACTCTTGCCCAGAAATCAGTACTGTTATGAGGCTGTTTGGAAACCTAATAAAGCAACTATACTAAAGGTCTCCAGCTGTCCAGCATGGCTCAGTGGTTGAGTGTCAACCTATGAACCAGGACCTGGTCATGGTTCGATTCCCGGTCAGAGCACATGCCTGGGTTGAGCACTCCATCCCCAGTGTGGGGCATGGAGGAGGCAGCTGATCAATGATTCTCTCATTAATGTTTCTATCTCCCTGTCTGAAATAAATTATATATATAACTAGAGGCCTGATGCACGAAATTTGTGCAAGGGCCATGGCCCCGCCCACCACGGCTGGGGGGGCCTCTGCCACCTCTGCCTCAGCCCCACCCACTGCGGCTTTGTCTGGAAGGACGCCCGGAAGGACATCCCTCTAATTAGCATATTATGCTTTTATTATATAGATTAGAGGCCCGGTGCACAAAAATTTGTGCACTCAGGGGGAAGGGGGGGTCCCTCAGCCCGGCCTGTGCCCTCTCGCAGTCTGGGACCCCTCGGGAGATAACGACCTGCTGGCTTAGACCTGCTCCCGGGTGGCAGAAGGCAGGCCCAATCCCTAGGTGCAGCCCCTGGTTGGGCTCAGAGCAGGGCCGATTGGGGAGTTGGGGCGCCGCCTCCTGTCATGCACAGAGCAGGGTGGATTGGGAGGTTGCGATGCCACCCTCAGTCATGCTCAGGGTAGGGCTGATTGGGGGGTTGGGGCACTGCCCCCTGTCACACTCAAGGCAGGGTTGATGGGGAGGTTGCGGCGCCACCCCCTGTCACGCACAGAGAAGGGCCAATCAGGGGGGTTGGGGGCTCCATACCCTGTCACACACAGAGCAGGGTCGATCAGGGGGTTGGGGAGCTCCCCCCTGTCACGCACAGAGCAGGGCCCATCAGGGGGTTGGGGAGCTCTCCCCGTCACGCACAGAGTAGGGCCGATAGGGGAGTTGGGGCACTGCCCCCTGTCACACACAGAGCAGGGCGGATCACGGGGTTGGGGTGCCGCACCCTGTCACACTCAGGGCAGGGCCGATGGGGAGGTTATGGCTCTACCCCGTCACACACAGAGCAGGGCCTGTGGGGGGCGGTTGGGGCGTCGCCCTCTATCACCTGCAGAGCAGGGCCGATCATGGGGTTGGGGTGCCGCCACTGTCACACTCAGGGCAGGGCCGATGGGGAGGTTATGGCTCTACCCCGTCACACACAGAGCAGGGCCCGTGGGGGGGGGGCGGGGTTGGGGCGCTGCACCCTCAGTCACGCTCAGGGTAGGGCCGATTGGGGGGTTGGGGCACTGCCCCCTGTCACACTCAAGGCAGGGTTGATGGGGAGGTTGCGGCACCACCCCATCACGCACAGAGCAGGGCCAATCAGGGGGGTTGGGGAGCTCCCCCCTGTCACGCACAGAGCAGGGCCCATCAGGGGGTTGAGGAGCTCCCCCCTGTCACTCACAGAGTAGGGCCGATAGGGGATGGGGCACCGCCCCCTGTCACACACAGAGCAGGACGGATCAGGGGGTTGGGGTGCCGCCCTCTATCACCCACAGAGCAGGGCCGATCATGGGGTTGGGGCGCCGCCACTGTCACACTCAGGGCAGGGCCGATGGGGGAGGTTATGGCTCTACCCCGTCACACACAGAGCCGCAGGGCAATCAGGGGGTTGGGGAGCTCCCCCATATCAGGCACAGAGCAGGGCTGATCAGGAGGTTGGGGCGCCTTCCCCTGTCACGAACAGAGCAGGGCCCATAGGGAGGTTGTGGCCCCACCCCCTGTCACACACAGAGCCGCAGGGTGATCAGGGGGTTTGGGCGCTGCCCCCTGTCACGCTGATCCCGGTGCCGGGAGGCCTCGCGTCTCCGCTGATCCTGGTGCTGGGAGGCATATTACCATTTTACTATATAGGATAGAGGCCTGGTGCATGGGTAGAGCTGGCTGGTTTGCCCTGAAGGGTGTCCCGGATCAGGGTGGGGGTCCCCACTGGGGTGCCTGGCCAGCCTGGGTGAGGGGATGATGGCTGTTTGCAGCTGGTCACACACCCTTCAGGGTGGGGGTCCCCACTGGGGTGCCTGGCCAGCCTGGGTGAGGGGATGATGGCTGTTTGCAGCTGGTCACACACCCTTCAGGGTGGGGGTCCCCACTGGGGTGCCTGGCCAGCCTGGGTGAGGGAATGATGGCTGTTTGCAGCTGGTCACACACCCTTCAGGGTGGGGGTCCCCACTGGGGTGCCTGGCCAGTCTGGGTGAGGGGCTGAGGGCTGAAGCTCCCAACTGCTCCTTTTTTTCTTTTTTTTAATTCTGGGCCAGCTTTAGCTCTGGCTCCAGCTCTGAGGCCTCTGCTGCTGAAAGCAGGTATCTGGTTTGTTTGGGTTCTATAATCTAAACAATGTATAACTCCAGCTCTGAGTTCCCGGCTCACTGAAAGCAGGTTTCTGGGGTTTTGTTTAGCTTCTATATTTGTTACAATGTTTCAAACTGCAGGCTCAGAGGCCGGCAAGGCAGGCAGGGAACGTTGGTTTCCTCAGTCACTGAAGCAAGCAAGCCTCATGTTAGTTTCAAGCTGCCTGGCTGCCGGCCGCCATCTTGGCTGGCAGTTAATTTGCATATCACCCTGAGTAGCCAATGGGAAGGGTAGCGGTTGTACGCTAATTACCATGTTTCTCTTTTATTAGATAGGAGGATGTTAAAGGGTCTCAGGATCAGAAAGTTGGGAAGCAGAGGCCAGTGAGAACGATTCATGCTGGGGACCAAAGGGGTTGATAATCCTCCATCTGGTCAGAAAGACTCTGGTTGAGGCTGATTCTGAGGCTTGAGAAAAGAGAGCAGCTCACTGTTCTTTCCTGGAGATGGCTGGACTTCAGTTGGCCAAACATACAGATCTGGCCTATACACTGACAGGGCTCTCCAGAGACCTAAACCACAATGAGAGGCCCTAAGAATACTGCTTGAAATGGCCCCATCATAGGCCTATCAAACATCCCCTTCCCCTCAAACAGTACTTTCTGGAGCCAGTGGTCAGAAGGAATCATAGCTTCCACCACTGTTTTTCAGAAGTGGGGAGAAAAGTTCTAAAACCCAGGGCATCCAGGCAAGTAGAGCATCTTGCCTCCATAACAGCTGGATCTTAGGCAACCAGAACCTCGGAAGGTCTGTACTATGTGGGTGGGCAGCCAGGACACTGGCACAACAGTGAGGGCTGTGGTGAGACCCTGCAGTCAGACGCCGATGTGGGTGGTCCAGGGCAGGAAAGAGAGGCAGGAGGCAGGTGATTTCCTTGAGTGAGAGAGGACCATTCCTCACAGCCACCTCCCGCCAACGTGCCTGTACATGCACACACATACATATGCACTCACATGCCTGCACACACACACACACACACACACACACACACACACACACTCAACCAATAGAGGTAAGCAATTCTCCCCACCAGCCAGTCCCCCAGGACTTGCTCCTCCCTTTCCTTTTCCTTTTCCTTTTTCCTTTTTCCTTTCCTGTCCTTTCCTTTCCTGATCCAGCCCCAGTGATGTAAATGTTCACTAGCCACTCCAGCTTTCCCTCCTTAGTTGTACCTTGAAGGACCCAAAACTGCAAAGCAGGATCAGGAATTTCCCCTCTGCCCTCCCCACAATGCCCATCTTCTTCAAACACAGAAAAGCCAATACAGAGAGTAAAGAGAGACAGGAGACAGAAGCCCTGACACAGGTTTTTCAGTATGCAAGTGTTTTTGACTCCACAGCCAGTTGCTTAAAATGAAACATAAAGGGCAGCCAGAATATACACCCAAATGCAAAAAAGTAAAGGCAAACAAAATAAACCACAAAATACCATGAACCCCAACAAAACAAAAAAATTAAAACCCAAAACCCCTCAACTTTATATATATATATATATATATATTTTTGTTGTTGTTTTAAAAGGGAGAACAACTTCAAAACCATCTGGGCAGTTTGATGGGGGTGGGGAGCAGTCCTACAGAAGGGGGCTGAGACCCTCCCCTTGGAACAAAGAACAAACACAATACAAAGAAAATAACCACCAATGCTCCCGAATGGGTCAGGAGTCTCCAGAGAAGATTGTCCCCATCCTCAAACTGGCTTTTTTTTTTTGTCTTTTTTTTTGTCTTTTTTTTTTCCATTTTCTTCTTTTGTTGTTGTTGTTTTAGCACCTGTACAATAAAACTGTACCATCTCCAACCAGAGCTGGCCACAGCTAGGCCCTCCTGCCTTTGGATGGCACATACTCTCTACAAG